AGCGTGCGGGAGGAGCAGAGTAAACCTCGCTCGGTTCTTGGGTTGTGGATTTTCAGATGCTGCCAGACTCAGTTCCTATGGAAAAGCACCAACCCGGGGACTGGCACTGCTGCTTTTTAAACAGCCAACGGCAGGTCTGCGGGCCGGGCCGGTATGCCCGCGTTCTGGAGTGACATGAAACAGAAACGGAGCAGAACGTGGCATTTTCAGTGAAAGAGATGAAGAACCATATCCGTTTTCTTCTCCCTTCTGCCCGTTTGCCTCTCCCCTCCGACCCCTGACGCTGGTCTGGAACTTGCTACCAGCTCAGCCCCTCGTTTGCAAGCACCCAGACAGATGGACACCAGTGTCCAACCAGTTCCGTCACCGGCAGAGCAAGTCCTTCCGCAGGAGTGGGAAAGGGCAGCCCTGCACCCCCCACACCCTTGCCCACATCCCTGGAAAAGGCAGAGCCTGTCCAGTTACCGTGCCAAACTAACCGCCTGACGGTATGTACAACGAGCCCGTTCCAATTCCTTTTTTTGGCATAAATAGACATTTTTGGCGCTGCAGAAGAACTGGTTTGGAGCAGGGAAACTGCACTTGGTTCAGTTTTTACAGGAGGAACCGCCCGGCTACGTCACCACACACGCTCCAGCCCCATGGAAAGAATTTTTCCAGCTGCGCAGGAGTTTAGAAGCCCTGTGGGCAGAGAGACCACCAGTTCTGACAAAATAAAGGCTATGACGGTGTTTTGGGGGCTTATTCAACGTTACCCAACGCTACCAAAAAGCTGGATTTCATCAACTGTTTTTAAAAGTCTCGTGAACACACAATTGCCCTGTCTGCAGGGATGTTTCGGGGATGGAGTACGTCCTGCTTAGAGACGGCCCCTAAAGGCAGCGTGACGGCTGAGAAATCACGGGACGCTTTACTTACTAAGCAGGTTTGAAGGTTTAACGTCACCAACTCGGGACAGTGCGCACCGATGTATTTCAGAGCTTCATCCTCAAGCTGGAAAGAAAAAAAAAAAAAAAACACCAATGTGGAGACTGACTAAAACTTGAAACAATCTTCAAAAATACAGCTTGGAGCACAGTGGTTTGGATACCGAGGAGGGCAACGCGCCGACGTCTCAAAATACGCAGCAGGAAGCGCGGGGCCTTTTTGGTTTCTACCACCTCAGGAACAGACAAAGACCCACAAGTTACTGATTTAAAGGAAAGCTGATGTGCTCAAACCTGCATAATTAACAAGACAAGTAGTGAAATCAGAAGCTAATTACAGGAATTGCTTCACTGGCGAGGGCCTGGAAGTAACGCTGGGTTTATATCGCGATACTGGAACCGAAGGAAAACCACTTATTTCAATGAAAGAAGCAAAAACCTATCCAGGTTGACTTTCTGATGATGAAAAAGCCTGCTGTACTTCAATCTGTAAGAACAGATGGCAAGTAATTGATAACAAGGATGTACTGCCATCAATATTACTCCCTTCTCCCTAAATCACTAGAAACCCAAGCTGTTTCTGTGACCTGAATTCTCAAAATAGGCCGAGACGGTGGGATCTTCAATCAAGTCATTTTTTACAGCCGTGTCTATCCCCGCCTCACGTCTGAAAAACCCAACAGCAGCATAAATTTAGAAAAACTCCCGGCTCCAGCCCTTGCAGCTGGGCTGTCTCGTGCACGGCACCGCTGCGCGGCTGCCTCACTGATCGTCCCCCCAGGCCTCCGCGGGCAGGCGCAGGAGAAACAGGCTTTTGGCAAAATAAGAACGTATAGATGTTTATCTATACACACACACAAAAAAAAAAAGGCAGATAAAAATAGCACTTCTTGAGTCATGCTTAAGGAATCCCTACCCCCACGGAAAAACCAACTCCAAAACAAATCAGCACTGTCAGTGTTTGGGTACAAGGAACTAAACGATCAGAGGTCGTTGTCCAGGTCCACCTTGAGGCTCTCAAACCCCTGCGAGTCTCTGGGTCACAGGTTTCAACTCCCTAGGGGGGCAGTTTTACTCCCCTTTTTCAAGGGCAAGATTCTGATAACGTCTGCTCCTTTCCAACCTACCTGTCTGCCTTAGAGACCCACAGTAAAAAAAGTTAAGAATTCGTCCCCATATTCTTTATTCTCTCTGCAATGAGCTCCTGCTCGGTACTAAATTAACGCTCAAGGTTTGTTCCCCACGACCCAGTTCGTTACTGATCCGACTCCTTAGTAAAGCTGGAACACAGGAAAGTGTTTAACACAGGAAGAGGCCATCAGGGGGCTGGAGCCCCTCTGCCATGGAGACAGGCTGGGAGAGTTGGGGGGTTCAGCCTGGAGAAGGGAAGCTCCGGGGAGACCTTAGAGCCCCTTCCAGTGCCTGGGGGGGCTACAAGGAAGCTGGGGGGGACTTTTCCCAAGGGCAGGGAGTGACAGGACAAGGGGTAACGGGTTTAAATTGAAAGTGAGGAGGGTTAGGTTAGATATCAGGAAGGAATTCTTCCCGCAGAGGGTGGGAGCACTGGGACAGGTTGCCCAGAGAAGCTGTGGATGCCCCATCCCGGGAAGTGTCCAAGGCCAGGCTGGATGAGGCTGGGAGCAACCTGGTCTAGTGGAAGGTGTCCCTGCTTATGGCAGGGGGTTGGAACTGGATGATCTTTAAGGTCCCTTCCACCCCAAACTAGTCTGCGATGCTCTGATAGGACACTGTTCAAGGATTCACCAGGTGAGGCAGTAAAGACAGATTAAAGGAGGTCAGGTTAAATAACAAGGGGGTAAGAAATAACCCCTCTCCGCTGCAGGAGTGACATTTATATATTTCAAAGTGCAGGCACCACAGTCTCTGCAGCCTCTTCAAAACACTCTTCTAGCTCAGGAGCTACACGACACACAGGAGGGACCAGCGCTCGTGCTCCTGACTGGCACAGAGATGTCTGTCCAAGGAGTCGCACACAGGGCGATTCTGACTCCCAGCGACACATGGAGGAGATGAAACTACCCGAGCCGCCAGAAACGGACAGGTCTGGCCACGAATAACAACGTTATCTCCTCTTTTTAAGAGTGTGCCCAGCGTGTTCCCGACGGGGAAAAGGAAGAAGAGTGATTCTACAGCCAGTTAAGCAGCTGAGCTCAAAGCTCAGATTCAGTAAAAGCAGTTAATCTCCAACCCATCACGAGTCATCTCGGTAATGTGACGTTTCTGGAAAGAGAAAAGCCCACGAGACTTCACCCCCGTCCTCTCGGTCACAGCAGAAGTAAGAAAGCCGTGGTCACGTGTGGGAGCCCTCTGGGGAGCCGTACCTGCGTGCAGCCTTTCAGAAACAGGGCTTTGAGTCCACCACAGCCTCGCACCAGGGCCTGGATCCCGTCCTTCGTCACTTGGTCACACCAGGAGATATTCAGCTGTTCCAGCAGTTGGCATCCCTCGCTTCGGAGGAGAAAGGAAAAGCGTGTGGAAACTTGGGGTTGGTTTTGGCAAGAAATGCTGCTTCAAGCCAGAATGTAGGAAATTCCCGTTTCTGGAACCCAGGTGAGCAGAGATGTACACCCTCACCCCGCACTCCCACGGGGAACACCTCTGGCAAACGTCACCAGGCGAGAAGAGCTCTCCAGGGGCACTACCAGGAGCCCTAAGGCAGGGTATGAGTAGGGGAAAGACCCCCCATCTATCCCATTTTGGACACCTCCCAGCTCCTGTACAAGGACAGACACTATGGGCTCTCCGGATCCGAACAAAACCAACCCCCCGCCCCCGTAAACCAAACCCAGGGGTGATTTCTGCTACTCTGCTTCCAACTCCCAGGAGTAAGTCCACATTTGCAAATAGCAACACCCAAGTGGGTGCAACACCCAGGTGAAATCGTAACTGGGAAGAGACACGCGGGCCATCACGCGTTTAAGACAGCCACGGCACAAACCCGGGCACGGGAAATTAGGGATAAGGATGAAGATCCTCAACGGAAGGAAAAAGCAGGCTCCAGTTATTTTACTGTAGCTACAAAATTAACGTAATTATTCATCTGTTCGTTCAAACCTGTTTTCTTCTGGTGTCTACATTCACACTCCAGTGATTTTTTTCCAGTGGTACAGCTTTCCTGTATTTTCTTTCATTCCACTGGTGTATCACTTGAATTTTATTTTTTTTTTTTAATAGCTTGGCCTCTGTTGTTACCTTTAGTGTTTTGTTTTTTTTTTTTTCTCCTTTTCTCTGTCCCATCACCTTCCCACCAACCTCTGCCTGCCCCTTCCCTTCCTAGATTACCTGGCCACTCTGCTTAGCAGATTTAAGCAGTTTTATGTCTCCTAAGCAGTTTCAAAAGACAAACAGTCACGTGCTGGTGGTCACCTTCCAGCTACGTAAACAACTGCCGACGGTACACTTCCAACGAAGAGGCTGACCTTTAGTAAACCAGCATGTTAAAAAGGCAGACTAGGACTTTTGCCTCCCCCAAAATCCCTCCACCAAGACTTTAACAGACTATATTAATTCTTCTGCTGCTAATAGCCATCAGGAGGGACACAGACGAGGTTGAGGGGAACTTTTCCTCCTCCTTTGGCCCTGCAAAGCAGGAGGCACAACGTGGGAATGCTGAGCTGCGTTGGGGAACACCTGAATTCTCATCACAGTTAGAGCTGCGGGTGGCAGCAGCTCAAATCAGCCGTCAAAGGTCCATGTTGTTGGCTCCTACCTCAGTGCTTTCAGAGACAGGTTGGTTATGGAAGTGCAGGAAGCCAAATCGAGGTGCCTGAGTTTAGAGCAGAACTTACTGAGGCTGGTACACGTCCTGGAAGAGAACACACAGGGACACACTGACGCTAAGGGTTCATTCGAAGTCGTATTTCATACGACAAGGGTTAAATTACCTACCGCAGGCACAGCCTGGCCTTCCCGTCCCCAGGGGATGGAGACCGTGACACGGTACGTGCAGCGAACGGGACGAGAGGGCAAACAGGATGGTACTCACGCATCTGTGATCTTGGTACAGCCGTTCAGGTTCAGTACTTCGATATTCCTGCAGTTCTGTGCAAACGTCCTTTAATAAAGAAAAGGGAAAACAGTGGTTTTCAGGCAGTAGATTTCCAGATGTTTTACAGCATTTACCTAAAACACATCAGATTCAATTTTACAAAGTTGTCTCAAGAAAAATAAGTAAGTAAATACATAAAATGTCCCTGCTCATGGCAGGGGGGTTGGAACTAGATGATCTTTAAGGTCCCTTCCAACCCAAACCTGTCTGTGATTCTATAAAATCATAGAACCATACTGGGTTTGGGCTGAAGGGACCTCAAAGCCCACCCAGTCCCACCTCCTGCCACGGGCAGGGACACCTTCCACTAGACCAGGTTGCTCCAAGCCTCATCCAGCCTGGCCTTGGACACTCCCAGGGATGGGGCATCCACAGCTTCTCTGGGCAACCTGTCCCAGTGCCTCTCCACCCTCTCTGGGAAGAATTCCTTCCTGATGTCCCATTTCCATCTCCCTCTTTCCATTTAAACCCATTGCCCCTTGTCCTGTCACTCCCTGCTCTTGGGAAAAGTCCCCCCCAGCTTTCTTGTAGCCCTCTTCAAAATAATTTGTGTTGCCTCCTATCTTGCCGTGGGATTTCCCAGTCTAAAGGCAAAAGCCTGTAATTCAGTGCCAATCACTGCTTAGCCTGTAGTAGCAGCTGGTGTTATTTTAATGAGATTTGAGAAAAACGGCTGCTGAGCGAAGTTAAAAAATGATAAATTAAAAAGGCTTATATGTTACCACTCTCAATGGTTTAAGTTAGACACGCAGGCTAAAGAGCTCAATTCCAAAGTGTCCATAAATTATTCCAATCCTCTGTGGCTGCAGACACCAAATCATCCTTCAAATCACATTTAAGAGCAGAAAGAAGCCATACCACTACCTTAACGCATTGTCTCCCACTCCTAGACAGCCCCGCAGGCTTAACTTCCGCAAGAAACCCCCACATCTTTTAGAAATATTCTCAACTACCCGGCCCTGTCAGAGACAGAAAAGTATGAAATTAAAATCCAAAAGTCATTCAGAGAGTTGAATTCACAATTTTGCAGATCAATGACAGTTTGTTATTCTAGGTAAAACAGTGCTAAGACAGCAAAAATGCCATGGTAATCACCTAAGGCAGGGAGAGGGAGAGTTATTCAGCTTCTGAAGATGGAGAGACAAGGAACAAGTACCTAAAGCCACTCAGGCTGCTGACTGAGGAACCTCTTCCAGCTCAGAGCTCCCAGACGTCGACCCAGACTCCCCAAGAACGGTGAAAGCAGCAACGCCATCGCTACAACACGGGCAGCAAGATTTACAAACTGTACTATGAATGGAGATCCTTCAATTCCTGTTCCGATAGAGATGAGGCAGAACCAGCCCATCGGTTCTATTCTCACAGAAAGAGGGATTTAAAACACTTGTGTTCAAGACATCTAGAAAAACGCTCTTTTAATTGCAAATCTGTAACCAGTGGAAGTCTCCAAAGACCCTACTACCAGCTAGTATTTCCCCAGCTACTTCTCACTGTGAGCAAAGCGCAAAAAACGTTGAGAAAATATTTGTACCAGTGTCCAGAAATTCAAAAACCTTCCCCTCTGCTTTGGTCTGTGTGGTTGTTCATCGCAGAAGAGGAACATCACTCGGTTCTTCAACTCCTACTTGGCATTGAGCCCTGTAATGATGAAGATATTCTTCTCTAACCCTTTTTCCAGTCCAAAAAAAAAATAAAATCAAGCATCAGGCTCGGTACAACGTGATGCCACAGTCAAAAAAGGGTCAGCAGCTTAGCTAGATCTCTGCACAGGCTCCTGGTGAGGTCTGGCCACTTGCCTTCAGCGGCCGATAGCCACAGCGTACCGCTGCCGCGCTGACAGGGCACCAAAGCCTGCAGCTCCCCGTAAAGGGCTGGAGAACAGTCCCTGCGGCTTTGCAATCCCTCTGTGAATTCCTAGGCTTGAATTCGAGGATTCAAACATGTTTATATAACATAGGGAATTCACAGCAGCGGGTGGGTTTACGTTCCGTGAAAGCGAGCGTCGTTGAGGACGTGAGAAAGACTGGGAGGTACTTTTAGGTCAGGTACAACACATTCAAGCCTTTTGTTTTAAGAGGGGAAGCCGGTGCTTCTGCAAGAAGGTGTGTTTGGTGTACAGAGCATGTCGGAGAACAAAAGTTTGGACATTAAAAACACGCACAAACCACTCAAGAGTGGGAAAAGCCTGGTTTGTACCCAGAGCGCTCCTGCACAGACCGACCCAGGGGCAAGGCTGAGCAGCTCCGTCCACGTCTCCTCCACAGACCAGCCACCACCGACCACTTCCCTCTACCTCTACAGAAAGTAGATTATTATATGGGTCCAGAACTTTCAGGGCACGTTAAGAGAGAAAGTGTTTACTACCAAGAACGGCAATCACCCCGTGTACTTCCTCGGAGAGGGCTCAGGCCACTCGGACCCCTGCAAGCACGTAGAAGTCGCCGCCGTATCACAGCCCTGTCCCTTTATCCTGCAGCTCAGCTGCTCAGACACACAGCTGGCAGACAGAGATTATTTTAACTCTTTCCTCCATGAATAATGTATTTCCCGCTGTTCCCACAAGGTGTGAATCTTCTGTCCTCATCTGGTTTATGCCCCAGTCTATAAGGAGGTAAAGACACATTCCCTATCTCCCTCCTCCAACAGGTTTTAAAGAGGATATAACATTCTGATAAGAAAATTAAGGGCTTTTTTTTTTTGGGTCTCTTATCCTGAGATACCCAGCCATTCCCCTATCCTGAGATACCCAGCCATTCCCCTATCCTGAGATACCCAGCCATTCCCATCAGTGCCAAGCAGCCCACACCTAACAGACTCTGAACAGCTACAACGAAGCGTTCCCAAAGCTGCATCTTTTAGGAACGATTTTGACCTCGTCCCCTTGAATCATCTCTGCGTACATTTCAATTTCTGATATCAGAGCCAGGAAAGGAGAGACCTATCGCAGCCCACGTGTCAAAAGACATTCAGAGTCTTAATGCTCTGAAGTCTGCGCCACGTTAGCATTTCTTTGAGTGAAAAGCAGCCTGAATTCTGCGATACAGAAGTAGTTTTCCACAAGAACATGCCTATTCTACTCATTTCTGTTTTCAGAACACACACAAACACACTCTCCTTCTATCACTACCTCCAAGTCTGGATACCCATACACAATTCTGTCCATTTTCAAAAGCTGAATGGATTGCCAAGACTTTAAAGAGTCCCTGAAGCTCAGAAGAACTGAAATTAATGATTTCTATCTCCAGGGAAGGGAAAAAGGGTTACGCTGGGAGTATTAATCCATTCTAGGCTGTAATTACATTTTAACAAGAAAAATGGGTTTGTATGTCACTTAATTATACCTCAATATCCCTCTGGAAATCAAACAGGTCAATTCGCTGCCAGTTACTGCCATCCAGGGCCAGAACATTCCATGCCTTTATCGGGGGAAAAAATGTAAATGTGTTGTTAATATGAAAAAAATGCCAGCGGGGACCTAGTTACAGTTTGCTCCTTTCAGAAACAACATTCCGGCTCAGATGGTGAAGCAGTAAGTAATTACAGCCAACGAGGAACACGGTGAAGTTACCAGAATCGCTCGCTCGGACGAGAGTCCGCTCATCTGCACGGCACACTCTTCCGTGTCCCCGGAGCCGTAAAACCCGGGGAGACCCAGCCACTTCGGCTCCCGTGGGAGACACGGACGTGGAGCCCAGGACAGGAGCAGAGCTGGAGCGCCGTTATCTTCGGAGCCTGGTTGGAATCTAACCCCCTCCGCAGCATCGCCAGCTAAACCAACGCCTTTAGAGGACACCAGCAGGACCGACGGGACGGTGAGGGACACCAGGACACGGGCCAGTCCCAGGGAGACCCCACCCCAGGTATTCACGTGATGCTGAAGGACACCAGGACATGGGTCAGTCCCAGGGGAGACCCCACCCCAGGTATTCACGTGATGCTGAAGGACACCAGGACACGGGTCAGTCCCAGGGGAGACCCCACCCCAGGTATTCACGTGATGCTGAAGGACACCAGGACACGGGTCAGTCCCAGGGGAGATCCCACCCCAGGTATTCATGTGATGGTGAAGGACACCAGGACACGGGCCAGTCCCAGGGGAGACCCCACCCCAGGTATTCACGTGATGCTGAAGGACACCAGGACACAGGTCAGTCCCGGGGGAGACCCCACCCCAGGTATTCACGCGGACAGGAGGAGGCAAAGGAACCCCACCCCAGGTATTCACGTGATGCTGAAGGACACCAGGACACGGGTCAGTCCCAGGGGAGACCCCACCCCAGGTATTCACGCCGACAGGAGAAGGGAAGCTAGTCTGAGGGCGTGGGGGACTCGGTGGTATGAGATGCCACAAGCGTGGGTGAGGCTGTGACCTCACTCATCTCCTCTGGCCTCCAGCAGAAAGAGGTGTCCGAGGCAGTTCCACATGGGCATGGGGTGCTGCATCCCAGAAATTCAAAGCTTTGTCAGCTGTCCTGATCAAGCACCCAGCCCTCACCCAAGACCTGTGCACCACTGCCGGAGGGACGGTGCTTACTACCTCCAACTTCAGGGTTTGGGTTTATTAAGAATAAGAAAGTCTCATGCTATGAATGAGAACCAGGAACTGAAAGTCATTAGTTCTACCCTTAATGAATTTAAAAGGTTATCAGCACAGTACTGTGCTTTATGTAATTAAAACTGCAAGTAAACAGCTAGATTTCAATCACAGAACGGTTTGGGTGGGAAGGGACCTTAAAGATCATCCAGTTCCACCCCCTGCCATGGACAGGGACACCTTCCACTAGACCAGGTTGCTCCAAGCCTCATCCAGCCTGGCCTTGGACACTCCCAGGGATGGGGCATCCACAGCTTCTCTGGGCAACCTGTCCCAGTGCTCCCCACCCTCTCCAGGGAGAATTCCTTCCTTATGTCCCATCTTCATCTTCCTCTTCCCGTTTAACCCCGTTACCCCTTGTCCTGTCCCTATACGACACCCATAACCACCACCAGCCCATCACTGTGAAAGCGAGCATGTGTATGGGCAGGATTTTATACTGTCCCTCTTACACGCACTAAGCTACATCTCCAACACCACGTAGCAGTTCCTGCGTAAGCCCCGTACAGCCTTACAACAGCCGACGGAACTGTAAGCATTCATTAATTTTCAGCATTTTAACTCTAACTGCTGTTTAGAGTCTGGTTATCGCCATCAGAAAAGCGACAGCTCCAGCGCATACAAGTTCTAACACAACATGCTTTAACACGTAACGCAGGGAACGTTACACACAGCCTCTGCGTAGCTCTACACAGATACTTCAGTCCTTCACCACGCATCCTGCGTCACGTAACGACCAACATAGCCTCTGATGCCCCGCGGGCTGTGTAAACAGGAGCAAGGGACCAACACCGGAGTACGACCTGACACTAGCAGGTATCTCCGACAGCCCATTTTGGTGACCGTTGTTCGGCTGGAGCAGTGAATTTCAGCTGGAGGATCTTTCATTGGAAGCCCTGTGTTATTCAGAGAACACAGGATGATCACTGGAATGCCTGGACATCACGCAGGATACTGAAGGCCATTAAAAATGTTTAAGCCTATGCTTAATATCCTTTTGATTCTTATGTACTCTGAAATGAAACAAGTCCAACCCCAAGGTCGGTCAGTTCTGTACAAGTGTCACTGCCAGAGCGGTGAACGCCCCACTACAAACACCTTCCCACGTAACCAACCTCCCACTCCGGCTCTAGGAACGCTTCCTTTGTGTGTCTTATTGGATACTGGCAGGATAAAGTATTTGAACAAGCCTGGTACCTCTAGACAACCAGACCTGCAGCTGAAGGAATTTTCCCAAGTGAATAATCCAGGCTGGAGTTCATGAGCTGGAGCTCGTAAAACTTAGGAGCTACTTAAGGAAAAACCCCAACCCTACACAAAACAGACCCCCGTTCTCTCCCTCCACACTGACATCAATGACATCCAGGCAGGAGGGTAAACTTTCACTGCCTGCATGGCATCTTTGGGAATCACAATTCCTTTATCTCCACCAAAACCCGCAAGACGCCAGTTTAGACTCATGCGAGTTCGGAATGTTCATCGGGTCAGACACAAACCCAGGTTGAATGGAGGGTTCTCGGGCAAAAAACATCAGCCACCTCCCCACCCTATCCTGCCCGGGACACCGGGAAAATGGCATTTGAGCTCAGAGTCCCCCTTCACCAGTGCCACCGGAAGTACCTGCTATGGTGGCGTTAACAGGGGGCACTAAAACAAGAGCTGAGCTGCGCAAAGCTCCCCGGTACAAACCCTCCGGGTCTGACATGCCAGGGAAGGCTGGACTGTCCCCCAAATCCCACCAGCTGTTAAAATCCACCAGCAAGGAGGATGGTGCTTACCCTGGAAACTTGAGCACAACGACACAGAGTGACCACATCCAGGAAAGAGAAAATTCTGTAAGAGAAATAAGAGAGAACTTAGCGGTTATCTGCATTTTAAACAAAGAACTGTGGAAAACAAAGGGGAGGGTGGGTGGAAAAAAAGGGCTGGAGGCAGCAAAACGTCTTTGTGCTTCAGCTGAAAGCTGGACTGTGAAAAGAAGCGCAGACCCAGCAGTTACCGAACGCAACACAGATACGGAGCGGCGCAAAATATTCACCTCGCACCCCGTGGCATTTACGGACAGGGAACGGGACGATTATTTACCAACGCAGCCAGGATGTGGCAGAAGCAACAGCCACGTTGGGCTGCTCTGGCTCCTGTCGGGAGACCGGAGCATCGCCCTGCCCAGCGCCTCTGCTCCCCAAAACCACGCGGAGCAGCAGCTCTCCGAAAGCGGAATGAACAGTTTAGGGATCCGTGCAACGCGACAGCCCGATTCCGGTGCAGGGATCATTTCTTTTCTCGCGGCCGTGCTAAACACGGAGCGTTGTTCAGGAGGGGTAGGAGGAGTATTTTGCTCCGGGACACTGCGTGGCCAGATGGGTTGTTGGGTTGTGCCTGTAGTGTCCAGGAGAGACTTCTCGGATTATGGCGATGCGGTCACTCCTCTCTGGTGTGTCATTCCTCTGCCAGGGCACACCCAAGTGTTCAGGCCAACACCCTGGTGTTGCTGTCCTATTTGCTGGGATAAAGGAATTACCCGGTGACACTTTGCAATGCTGCCCTGGGCTAAGACATCCCCGCTTTTATCTCCGGTGCATACACCCCAATCTGTGAGTACAGGAAGTACCAAACCCACTTAAAGCTCCCAAATCAGTACCTATTTATCAATATGGTTATTTTAGGGTTTATGGTTATTCAATCATGAGACACAAGACAGAGACGGTCAAGCAGGCAGCAGAAGGATAGTGAGGTCTCATTCTCCTTAATAGTGTTTATAAAACCATAGAATCCCAGACTGGTTTGGGTGGGAAGGGACCTTAAAGCCCACCCAGTCCCACCCCCTGCCATGGGCAGGGACACCTTCCATAGACCAGGTTGCTCCAAGCCTCATCCAGCCTGGCCTTGGACACTTCCAGGGATGGGGCATCCACAGCTTCTCTGGGCAACCTGTCCCAGTGCCTCCCCACCCTCTCTGGGAAGAATTCCTTCCTGATGTCCCATCTCCATCTCCCTCTTCCCGTTTAAACTCATCACCCCTTGTCCTGTCACTCCCTGCCCTTGGGAAAAGTCCCCCCCAGCTTCCTTATACCCCCCCAGACACTGGAAGGGGCTCTGAGGTCTCCCCGGAGCTTCCCTTCTCCAGGCTGAACCCCCCAACTCTCCCAGCCTGTCCCCAAGGCAGAGGGGCTCCAGCCCTCTGAAGGTTTATAATACATAGTAATATAATACAATAAAGATAATACCGATGTTTGACTACAAGAAAACACTTTACACTTTAATATTTTAAACTTGGAGACCACGAGGAAGAGAAGGCGGATGGTATCAGATGCAAGTGTCAAAGGTTTTGGGGAAGGATTTTTCTGCTGTTTTATAGAACTATTGTACAAAACACTCCCCTCAGATGCAGCACGGCTGTCTGGGAGAAATTCTGAGAACAAACCAAACTCACTGCTCCAAAGGTCTCCACACCTTCTCAAGGGAACAGCCTGTGCCCAAATCAGCAACGGTTTGGATACCTGCAACACAAGTCAGGTCCCCACAAGAAGTGGGCCTGGGGGTGGCAGGCATACGTGAGCTTTCCCGTGTTCTCAGCGGACCTGCCTGTGCTGGAAGAGACTTGGAAACGAGAAAACATTGCTGGCAGCATGTCCTTTTTGTGTGACTTAACTTAAACGCCCCGTATAACACGTAACTGAAACTCATAGAAAACCAAGCTGACCGATGCACTCGTCTCCCCAGACAGGCACAAAGAATACACTGGAATAAACACCACAGATCCCGATAAAGCCGGGGACACCCACGGGTGTATGTTGTTAGACACAAACAGCAAATCCTGGATTTTCAAATTTTGGAAGAGGGCACAAGTAAGGTTTGATACAACCCCTGCGCCACCAAGCTTTCCTCACCAGCAGGTACGTAAAAAGCACTTGAGAAACACCAGTGTTGGTGGAAGGGGAGAAAAGGACGTTGCCCATCGGGAATGGAGGCAGAGTGTTTCCCAAAACGGTTACAGGTGACACGTAAACGGTCAGACGTTAAGTCAGGATACCGCAGAACCAACAGCACAGTGTTGGTGGAAGGGGAGAAAAGGACGTTGCCCATCGGGGATGGAGCGTTTCCCAAAACCATTACAGGTGACGCGTAAACGGTCAGACGTTAAGTCAGGATACAGCAGAACCAACAGCCACATGCTCTCCTGTGTTCCTACGCTGCCCAAAGATACTTGGGGAGATTCAAGGAGACAAACGCTTCACCTCAACACGATGAGCTCAAGCTGCTTCATCTCATCACGAGCCAAGATTCACAGCGGCACGCTGATACACGGGGAGCGAGGATGTCTGGGAAGGAGCTGATGTGCACTTATGGTAACGCTGCTCTGGGAACCCACCTCTGGATTTCAGCAGCGGTTCCATGCTCTCAACTACTTCCAGACAACCCTTCCCCTCGAAAGAAATGTCATTTAGCCCTGTATGTGAGCACCGAGGACTTATTTAGCACAATGACAATGTCCAACAATACAAGGAAAGCCTGGGGAAATGACAGAAGCTGGGGAAAAATCCTACTCTCACCCTAGATTCCCATCACAAAGCAAAAAATACCCACCAAGCTCCATGGGAACAGTGGCTAGGTCAAGAACTACGCATGCTTTCTGTATTTCCATTAAAACTGCTCTCTCCGTGGAAATCCCAGGCTATTAATAACCATCTCACCCCTCTATGAGGGCTATTAGGTCTTGGCCAAACGCTTTCCTGCTTCCTGCTCCTCCCTTCCCAGTCTCCCCGCACAGTAAACGGGATGTCGACACGGCAGAACACGTGCCCCTCTCACCTCCGAGGTCAACATCGCCGAGCTTCACCAGCAGTTTCCTTGTTGTCTGACTCGCAGCCTTTGGCTCTGAAAAGCCTCAGAAGCCTTTTTTCAGTGTTTTCTGAACTGCTCTTGCCTTTGTCACAGCATTTTAGCCAATGACTCAGCAGAACTGGGCTGCAAAAATGACTCTTTTAGCAGCAGTCACTACTCTGTTGTGCGTTTTGGTCCTTTCAGATTTGGCTCCAGCAGCAACCCGTCACATGAACTTGGGAGAACAGCAGGAGCACAGTTAAAGTCTTGCAGGCACCATGACCAGAGCTGAGTTTTCTGTTGCAGCCCTCAGGACAGGCTTTTTCTTCTCCAAGGAGCTGTTAGGGGACATTTAAGAAAAACCCCAGCAAGAAAAGCCACAAAGACCCACAGAGAAGCTGCCTGCGTGGCTACGCGGTGACGGAGCAGTCATCTTCTTCCAACAGGGTCATAAATGCTGGGTCTCTTCTCAGCAGGCTGCACAGTATAAAATAAAGCTAAAATAATCTATATCTGCACTTGAAATAACATGCCTGTTGCTATGACCCTACGGCTTAATTAAACTGGACTTGCCAATGAGGAAACACTGGGCTGACAGGGAATTTGGATGCAGCTTAGTGAGTCAGCTCCTCTCAGTAATAGAGGGGCACTAGAACCATAGAATCACAGATGGTTTGGGTTGGAAGGGACCTCGAAGCCCACCCAGTCCCCCCCCCTGCCATGGGCAGGGACACCTTCCACTAGACCAGGTTGCTCCAAGCCTCATCCAGCCTGGCCTTGGACACTCCCAGGGATGGGGCATCCACAGCTTCTCTGGGAACCTGTCCCAGTGCTCTCCACCCTCTGCGGGAAGGATTTCTTCCTGATGTCCCATCTCAATCTCAGTAAGGAAGAAGGATTTCTTCCTTATATCTAAAGACAGAGAGGTGTCATCCCCCTGGTATTGTTCCAAAGCAGCAAACCCTAAGGTAACACCTGCTGCTGCGGTCAGATTCAGTTTATCCAGTGAAAGAAAACAGGGAAGACTTTGTTCAACCTGCTGCTACTTACTACCCGAATATTGGTTTTCCTGACTCTGCCTCAGCAGATCAAAAGGTGCATCGCTGGGGTGTTGGTTTTTGCCTCTAACACAGGGTGTTTCTGTCGTGCTCCCAGCCGACTGCTGTGCTTTTACACTGGTCTTTCTACCCTCCAGAGTCGACAGTAAGAAAATAACCCACACCAATAACTTTATCATCAAAGGTGACCCCAGGTGAAGGCAGACCGAGTATTCCAAGCAGGAATTAGACCAAGCCCGCTGTTGCAGCCTATTAAATTTCACTGCAAAGTAACTCACTGCCTTCAGGACTTCGCCTGCACCGTCCAGCGCTGGAGAATTTAGCTAAAACACACGGCAGTTAGAGCATTTTCCAGGTTTCAACCTCTTAATCCACTCAGGGTTTTCTAGGACTCCTCACTTTCCCCCTGCTGCGCTAATTAGATTAGGGTCAAGACTCTAATGAAATCCCTGGGTGCTGTGGGCTTTGAGGTGAGGTAGCTTAGACCTTCAGCCTTCTAAAATTACCAACACCCATTTATGCCAGGAACCTATCATTCTAGTTAAATTCTGCTCCGTACTCGCTTTATGCCGTCGGGATGGCCAGGAGGAGAGAAACAACAACTTTGCTGCCAACTCACCGGTCGCCCACGCTCCGTCGTTGCCTTGTCCCGAGCCGAACTCGAGCTCTGGAGGAATAACCTGGGGCTCGAAGGTCAGATGGCAACGCCAGGGCCAACGACTGGGTGTGCTGGAAAGGGGCTAGCAGGCAGCAGCACGGAGTAAAAGCTGCTTAGACCAGGAGAGAACTACAAATTGCTTGACCTGCCCATGAACTACCAAGGAAAAGATGAATTCCCGCAGCCCGGTCCCCTCCACCCCGCCAAGGGTAAGCTGCTGAGCAGCCCCACGTCACGCCAGGAGTAAACCTTCTTCGGGAAGCCAGCAGAGACCACCACTGCCCCAGAAAATCCAGGCTTGGGGTTGGGGTTTGGCTTCCAGACAGAAAAGCCCTGGCAGGCAGCCCGCGAGGAATGAAGGCACCTTTTCAACGAGGCGTCGTTAACGCCGGCACAGGGAAACAGGGATGGCCCTGCCGGGGAAACGGCCAGAGCCGACGCGGACCACGAGCTCACCGTTCAGTCGCCGAGCCAAAGAGGAGCCGGGAGCAGCAAAGGAACGAGGGCGGTGAACAGAGCTTCCCTTTTTGCTGGTTTGGCTCATTTTTATGGGGTAAAGGTGTATTTGTGTGTAAGGGTGTGAGCTCCTAGAAACTCAGCTGGCAGGAGAGGAAGCTGAAGCAGTATCAGGACAAGGATTTGTGTCCCAACAGCTGATCTCTCTACCCACGTGCTTTGTGTCGAGTCCTGCTCCCGGGGAAAGGCAGGACAAACATCACTGCCACTGGCACCGTGGTACACGACGTGACCGACGCACGGACGCCACTAAGGCAGACATTGCCCCGGACAAGCCCTTTACACCTCCAGCCCTTCCTCCCAGACACGAGTGTCACCGCAGTCGCACATTTCTGCACCGTGGGGTGTGACAAAGGCTGCTGTTCACCCCTTTTATACCCTCCTACTCTTCACTTCGCTCAAGTACAGCTTTCCACTTTGCAACCACACGCACACGAGACATCAAGGCCATCTGCAGAACGAACAAGGCAGAGAACAAGACATCACACAGCAGCACTGCTTAAACACATAAGTCTTTGTCTTGCAGACAGCGACACTCATTTACGAGAGGTTCCTGCAGATAAACACATCCAACTTTCTCTTTCAAAGGCTGCACTGTCAATCCGCGCTAATGAATTTTCGCAGTATGCTAACAGTGAATTCCCACTCTCAAAACCGTTACTGATGAACTTCAGCGTTTATAAACTTCGTCTCCCCGTTTCTAGGTTCCACACAGACCTGGACACCAGCTGTTCTACAGGTTAGGATGATCGGGGATAGCAAGGCACAGAAGACAAGCGCTCGGGCTGCCGAGAACCCGGACAACGGACAACATTCCCTGCTCAGTGCAGGACCTTCCCTCCTACTCACCACCAATCCTTCTCCACCTGCCTGGTTATGTTCCTCAACGCCAGCTACCTCCTACGGCCCAAGATGTGCTTATTGGGCCCACTCAGGATCATTCCACTTGGAATGACGTACCAGAAAGCTCACCCACGCTCTGATCAAGGTCCCGCTTCTGGGGAGCCTGGTGACCACACACCTCTTCCCCCTGAAATCCATGCAAAACCTCAGTTAAATTCCATCCCCCACACTCTTCCTCCCTGCCAGATTCCCAGCTTTGCCCATGCCACACAAACTCCTTGTCCCACAGGTCCATGCTCTGCACATCCTATCCTCAGCCCCGACACCTCACCATAAGGGCAAATCCCGGTTCTGCTGCATCTGCGATACCAGCACCGACCCGCTCCCGTCGGAAAAAGAATTCCACTCCCAGAGAATCCAGAGAGACGTTTTTCTCGCTCTTCAAATTCCCCTTTTGCAACACATCCAGGCCAACAGCTCAGGGCAAGTGCTGGGTGAAGACAACTCCTGTCACTTGCAAAAAGCTGCACAAGCTGATCATGGCTAGGGCATCCTGCGGGTTTGCTGGTCCATCCCGCACTCCTCCCGCGGGTGCCTGGTCTCTCCCAGCTCCCTGGTGCTGATTTTTACAGAGCAATCTCTGGATGGCACCCACCACCATCCGTATACCAGGCTCGAAGCCCAGATATCCTCGTTTTAGCAAGGAGGGCTTTAGGAGCCACACAGCTTGCTCTGGGATGAGGAATACCGATCATTATCAGTGTAACATGAGATCGGATTGGAGATCCCACTGCAGGGAACAGAGGAGACAGCGGAGCCAAATTAGAACGAGTCACTTTCTCTACCCCTTTTATTTCACGAGTGAGCCAGAAGCAAGTTCTTGTGTCAGAGCTCCTCTCCCCAGACTTTCTACTGCCATTAAACGGTGACAGTACTACACAGCGTCTTGCGCCGTACGATTTTTGTTCGTGTTAATAATTCAAGCTGCCACCTGCAGCCACCTTCCCCGTTTACAGTCTGGTGCCTCGTCTTACATCGCCGACGAACACGACTTCGCTGCCGAGGTGCCGAACCGGGAGGACCGAGGTACAACCCCAAGGTACCCCGAGGTACGCCGCGGGAGCTCTGACGTGCGCACGGGGAGAGGGCAGAGCTGCCTCCCGAGATCCACAAAGTCTGACCTGCCTGCTCTTTGCCCACGGGACCGTCTTGCCAGCTGCTGAACATCTGTCTCGCCTCGACAAGGAACGGGACAAAGTCTGCCCGAGCATAACGGCGCAGCGGAGCTGCCTTCTTAAAAACGGAATGCTTTAGGGACAGGCAGAACCCTATTCTACACATCAGCCTAGACTTACCGCTTATTTTCACTAAGGACTCGTTCAGCCCTATAGTTCTTCCCCCTACAAACCACTCAGCTACCAATCTGACGTTTTAACACATAAACCCTCATAATATTTAACGTGACGCAGCTCTTTCACCCGCTACCGTTCCTCGACGGCTTCAGGAGCGACCCGATCCAAGCTGATGGTCAACGATGACACCAACAAACACCGTCTCCCGCCGGCGAATCACACCACGCGACCCTCCACACTGACAGAGCGAAAGGCGGCTTACCGAAGCAGCAGCTCTTTGGGAAGTTTTTTGTTGATGGCGGCTTCGTCGTTGTTTGAGAACATCTGTAAACAAAAACAATTTCCAACGTTTTAGCCATATATTTTCATTAAGGAAACAAAACCTGCTTTACTCTAGGGAGGAAGCGGCTGGTTAACGAGGCCATTTCAGGGAAGACATCTGGCCCAATAAATCCTCGAAAGATGAACTCTGTGCTCAAGCTTTCAAACTCCTGGACCGCAGCTGGATAGAATATGACAGCCAATAGTCTAAAAAACGGATGGAGAATGCTCCGCGGATCGATAGATTAAATATAAACTCAGATTGTTAACGAATCTATTAAGTAAGTGGTAATTTGGGGGTTTTTGTGGGCTGGCACTGACTACAGGAAGGGATCACCTGCAGCATTGCTGCGGGATCCCGGCCGTCAAGGTTCTGTGAAGGCACACCAGAGCACTCCGAAGTCGTAAAGCATCAAACAAGCATAGGGCAAAGGGGCTGGAGGGAAGGGCGACGACGAGAACGATCAAGCAGCCCGAACACCCAACAGACACAGGCACAGCCGGGCTGGTTTCTGAAACAGAAAAGGGCGCAGGGTGCCCGTGTCATCCTCGCAGCACGCTGTTTGACAGCGGCACTTGGGAGTTTAGGGGCAAACTGCTTTTTTTAAGTCACGAAGCACGGTATAAAGGGAGATGTGATCTTTGGTGCTGCATCAGGAGAGATGACTTGGGGTAAGCACCGTGTTCTTCCAAGGCAATGAAACCAGAGCTGTTTGTTGCATCCCATAAGCTTTTCCATACAATCAAGGAAGGGTTTGGGTTGGAAGGGACCTTAAAGACCATCCAGTCCCCCCCCCTGCCATGGGCAGGGACACTTTCCACTAGCCCAGGTTGCTCCAAGCCTCATCCAGCCTGGCCTTGGACACTCCCAGGGATGGGGCATCCACAGCTTCTCTGGGCAACCTGTCCCAGTGCCTCCCCACCCTCTCCGGGAAGAATTCCTTCCTGATATCCAATCTAAACCTCCTCACTTTCCATTTAAACCCGTTACCCCTTGTCTGTCACTACAGGCCCTTGTAAAAAGTCCCCCCCAGCTTTCTTGTAGCCCTCCAGGCACTGGAAGGGGCTCTAAGGTCTCCCCAGAGCTTCCCTTCTCCAGGCTGAATCCCCCCAACTCTCCCAGACTGTCATGCAACATGTTACTGTAGTGGCCAACAACTGCCAAATCCGAAATGGACTTTTGGACCAGCTACAATAATCCCAGTAGCTGCCAGAGTGAGAGAAGTGTCTCCTTTCTAAGGAGTGGGAAGAAAAACAGACAGCAAAGCCTCACATGGTTCTTAAGGAATATCTGTGTGTATTTAAATCTTGGCATTGCCTTGCCATGGTGAACAAACAAACAAGCTCCACACTTGGGCCTGTGGGAGGAATGATTAGAGCGACCTGTGAACCAAGACTGGGGAGCGGCGATGCCTCATTCCATTCAGAAACGTGCTTTCAACATTCCCAAAAGCAAAACAGGGAACAAGGAGAATGAGCTTTTAATTTCATTAACAGAGTTTCTCTTTAATCTCCTGGGACAACTAATAGCTGATCTTAGAATCATAGAATCATAGAATGGTTTGGGTTGGAAGGGACCTTGAAGATCATCCAGTTCCAACCCCCCGGCCATGGGCAGGGACACCTTCCGCTAGCCCAGGTTGCTCCAAGCCTCATCCAGCCTGGCCTTGAAGACATCCAGGGATGATCTTCCTGAGCTACATACCTGCTGCTGAAATCAGTCCAAAAAAGCTGATTTTTATGGCTTGGTTAGGCGATCTGAATCAGTTTAGCTGTGTGTATGCAAAGCAACTAAACCCAGCGTGAGCCAGGTCACCTAAGCGGCAGAGGATCAGATTAAGAGTTAAAAAAGGAAAGTAAGATCTTGGTGGCTTTTATAGGCTCTAGGCTTTTATTGGCTCTAGGCTGGGCCTCTTCAAGCCAAAAGCTTCTCCAAGCAGCAAATATTCCGGACCTGAGCATCGACCCGACGCCATCGCGCGTCAGAGAGCATCGCAGCTTAACGCAGTGCTGCTACGTAGGTTTTAACGTGCTCCCCTCGGTGACAGCGAACGGACGGCGGGGTAACACCACCGTTCCAAGAGAACGCCGAAACCAACGCTCAGAGTCAGGCAAACTTCACGAGCCATGTTTCTAAATCACAGTTTGCTTTTTCGTTACCTCCAGACACGGGAGGGTGATGCTGAGGTGGGACACGAACTCTCCGGCACTCCTTCCCCAGACGTCACGCCAAAGAGGAGTGTTGCTTCCCCCCTCTCCCCAGACACTTTTAGCACTTCCCACCAGACGATATCACAAGTTAGCGACTCCCAAACGGGCCACCAGACAGGCAGCTACTCAGCCCACGTTGCAGATAATGAAACTGGAAGTTTTGCCATTTTCCCAGCTAAGACAAATTCCACGAAGCCCGTTCCCTCAAGGCGAGGGGAGAAGAGCACCTCCTCAAGCCAAGGACGCGTTCAGACTCGCTCAGGGATGCTGTCTGACGCCTGGCAGGTCACTGCCGAGCCAAGGCATGCGCACATTCTGGGATCGGCTGGAAAATTAAGGAAATTCTGCAGGAAGCCCTAATGAAGGAGAAATGCAGAAGAATTATTCATGGGAAAACAAGACTATGCTTTTTCTTCCCCCAGTTACAAGAACAATAGCAAACAGGCAGATTTATCCCTTTTCCCATTACTGTCCAGGCCAGAATTGTACATCTGAACCGGCACCCTCCATCCCCTTCACAAAACAAAAAAGGGTGAGAGAAATTAAAGGAGAAAAACCAGATAGCTGTAGGAGACTTCCGAAAAGGAACCAGACTAGAAGAAAACAGGCAAGGGGCAGGAAGTATTAACGCAGAGATTCCAGAAGCAGACAGCCAGCCTTTTCTGTCTCATCTGTATTGACAACCAGGCTCCGTCTGAATTCAACCTGCGCGGTGAGACGGCGGCAGCAGTCGGTGCCTGTTGTCGGCTCAGACCGTACATCAAGGACACGTGTTTTTCCTGCAGAAGCCAACCTCTGACCAGTACATTTGGGTTTTATCTTAATAAAAAAGTCCTTAAGAGTTAAACCACAGCCAGGGCTGGATGCGCTCTGCAGGAGAACCTCAGCTCCAGGTTCCCACTCCTCTGGAATGCTGTGAGGTGCCTGAGTGCACAACCAGATCTGTTTTCTCAAGCCTTCCTTCAAATCTCGGGGCTCAGATGACAGAGATGGGGTGGAAACAGGCTGGAACTGGGCTACGTTGCCAAGCCATGGTGGCACGTGCAGCTAGTTAATTATACCAATGGACGCTTGGAGTTCCTGGCAAGTTCATAGAAGAATAAAACTAGTCTGAAAAAAGGTCAGAGGCAATTCTAGACTTCCAGGCTTTTAAAATTACCTCTAGGGATGCAAACTAAATAACCCAAGTTTGCTTTTCCTAACATCTCTCCCAACATTCTTTAATACCAGGTATTACTCAGGAGAATAAATTACTCCTGACAGGATATGGAAAAACGTATCTTTCGTGTACGTAAATTTTGCAGTCTGTATTAAAAAAAAAACCCACGGGATCTTCCACAAAGCATCACGTCGGCTGCTGCGTGAAGCTGCATCCCTTCCAGAGAAGAAATGGAAGGGGGAAGAGGATAAATTCCTCTTACTCTTCCACCCACCCAGACGAAGGCAGACCAGCAGCGCACCACCCTCGCAAAACAGCCTTTTCTAGCTGGAAGAGAGGGGATAAACCTACAACAACCACCGTGGAAGCAGACACTAGACATCAAAACTTGTGTTAAATTAGTAAAGGTTGCTGTAATCCGCTACAAGGCGAAGGAAAACGCGTCATGCCGAAGCACCAGACCTGGACAAAGTTTGTGTTGCAGAAAGCTGCGTTTCCTACTCATTTTACCATAAACCTCTTCCTGGCCTTCAGAGCGGGAGGTACAGGAGGTGGAAGCGATGGCTTCGCTGCCCTGGGCACACAGAGGATTTGCTCATCGCTCAGTTAAGATGATTTAATTTCCCTGCAAATACTGTGTTGCTCAGCTCTTCTCCCAAAGGTAAAAAATTGGGTAGAACCTGCAGTTTTCCAGGGCATGTGTCTGCTGGCAGCTTTACACCTCACACAAAGACGCCCGACAGCCCCCGAGGTATTTGGCGTATACAGGTTTCAGCGGCACGTGGAGATGCTTCTTCCCCTGTTCCATCAGGGGCTGGAGAGGGAGAACAAACAGGATCCACCTAATCGCAACTCCAGCGTTGGGCATCAACTTGGTACGCCCGAAGAAACGACAGAACTGGGGGGCTTGATCCATAAATCAACCCTTTATCCACAAACCAATTAAAATGTTAATATGCTGGTTATACTTACTATTTAATAAAAGGGGAATTGTATTTGGTTCCAGTTTGGAACAGCCCGGTGGGCTCAGCTTTTGGCACGGGGTTTTTAGGAGTAGATGGCCAGAGGAGCTAGCAGCGAGGACAAGGATGATCCAGCCTTCAGCTGGCCACAGGAACTCACCAGGTACCCCTGAATGGGGTAATGGGTATAAATTGAAATCAGGGAGGTTTAGATTAGATATCAGGAAGAAGTTCTTCCCGCAGAGGGTGGTGAGGCACTGGGACAGGTTGCCCAGAGAAGCTGTGGATGCCCCATCCCTGGGAGTGTCCAAGGCAGGCCGGCGCCGCGCTGCGCAGGGCTAACAAAGACGTTTACCTACTGCAGCGGAGCAGACAGAGCTGCTGTCGAGGCCTTGGCCGTGCCGGCCCTTCATTACAGGGCTCAGCAGCCCAAACTGGGTCACCCGTGTGACAGCAGCAGAGGAGCGGGATGACAGCACCTCGCAGCCGAGCGCGCAACGGAGGAGAGCGGATAATTAGGAGTGTCCCTGCAGAAGAAAACATCTACATACGTGCTGTGCTCATCGCGCGCGCAAAGAGGGACCTGAACAACAGTTGGTGCAAGCTCTAAGTGAAGCAACACTCCGCGGGCAGGTGTTATTCGAGTTAGAGTATGGAGTATTGAGTCATTATTGCAGGCATTCGCTTGGCCTTGGAGCAAGGCTTGCGCTGGCACGGAGACTTGTCTTGGTTCTCCCAGCTCTGGTGCCAGGCTATCCACCTTGCCCGGAGTGAACGGATACGGTCAATATTTGGCACGTGAGGTGTTCACATACTGGACTGATTCAGGTGCCGTGTTCATGTTGAGGCCTCTTCTCCCTCGTACAGCACACTGACCTACGGCATGGCAGATGCTAACACAGACATGCTACAGCCAACACCTACAGCTCCGCTCAGGAAATCCACGCCCAATCTATATTTTCTTGTATTTCAGGAGAAAAAGATGCTGTATTACTGTGAACACCTCAGTATCAGGTTGATTTACTTCCTCCACAGCAGCAAGTTAAAGCTGCTCCAGCGAGAAGAGCCCTTACTCAACAGTTTCCACAAATTCTAGATCTTTGCTCCCAGACCAGTCATGCTCCCAGTGCCCCTGGATCCAGAGAGTCTCCAAACGCACGCTGGCACAAAGCTGGCTTTTCCCAGCTTGCAGAGCTGGAAAAACTCCTCAAGAGCTACGGACCGCAGCTCCGAGCAGGCTCCCGGCTGCAGAGCTCTTCCGCGGTCGGGGCTGGGGGGGCAACGCTTCCCTGCAAATGTCACATCTGGCAACGGTTTTGATTTTATTGTTGGGGAAGGGCTGGAGGGGGCTTCCTATGAGGAACAAAGGTTTTGTTTTTCACTTTTGTGTGTTTGGAAAAATACACTCGAGAAGTTTCTGAAGGAGTTATTTCAACATTTACAGTTCCCTGGAAGTAATTAGGAATATTAACGTACAGAACACAAGGCATGTTTGTTTGGCATTACCCTAAACTGCTCTGCAAGCAATTCT